GGCTATTTATCTTATATTAGTTAAAACTTATTACTTTATATATATATATATATGTGTGTGTAAATTTATTGCATATATTACTAAATTATTTGTGGTTTTAAGATATGTATATGTTGTTATAATCTTGAGAAAATAGGAAATATCTAATGATAGATAAAAAGAGGAAAATTGCATAAAAAGATATATAATGATAGGTGAAGATGTAGAGGGTGACTAAGGAATGAGAATAATAAAAAGGGAAGGACAATAAGAAAAATAATAAAAACAAACAAATTATTAATGGAAAATTATCAGTAAACCCTCTAGTTTTAACATATCTTTTGACATTTGCTTAGTTTAGTATTAAAATATAATATAAATATAATCGATTTAATTGATTCTTGCATATGTATGTATAGTTTACATCTTTAAGTTTATCGGTCTTTAATTGTAACCTAAAAAATAATGATTTTTTAATGGTCATATTGTGTAGTGTATTAAACTAAAAGATATATCAATTAATGTCAATTATTAATATAAAAAGAGAAGTGAGGACAAACATAGTTTATAGTGAGAAAATGTGATGGTGTAAGTTAAGAGATGTAAAAGAAAAATTAATGAGAGGTGGGAGGAATGGTATGTAAGTAAACAAATACCAATAAAATAAAACTAAAATGTTATCTCTTTTAAGTTTTGATTTAGACCAAGTTTAATAAAGATAAACGGGGAGAGAGAATTGGAATAAAAAAAATATCCTAAAGATCAATATGGGTGTAAGGAATAATTAAAAAAGGATATTGTTGGAGGATATAGCGAATAAAGAATAATAACAAATAAATTATTAATATATAGAGAGAAAAAAATGAGAACAAATATAGATAAATAAATAAATATAATGATAAAATATGTAAATAAAGTTAAAAGATAATATTGTAAGAAAAATGAAGAAAGAGAGGAGTGTAGGTAAATGAAAAGGTGCTAATGAGTTATATTTTTTATATTTTAACTTAAAAGATTTTAAGGGAGAGAGAAGACAAATTGAAGTAATAAATATATATATATATATGTATGTATGTATATATATATATTAGTAATAGTTATAAATGAAAAAATAAAAAAAATTAATGAAGATTAATTAATGATGTATATATATTAAAAAAATTTAATTGATAAAGAAGTAATATCTGTTTGTAATAAATTAATGTCTTTGAAATTATTTTTACACTTATTAACTAAAAATTAATTTTAATTATAAATTAATATTATTACATTTAATAATTACTAAAAAGATAAATATGAACAAGAGTCTAGTTATTTTTTAATGGAGGTAGTAAAAATGATTTTTTTTTTTTTATAGGCTAAGGCTAACTTAAGCTCGCCTATTAATAACTCCAGCATTCAAATTTATCCAATAAAATTTAGTGCACTAAATAGTAATTAAAAATTCAGGAAAAAAAATTATGAGTATTAAGAGCATTCCACTAATAAAAATTGCAAGACCAAGAATCAGCCTTTGAAATCAATGATTTGTTTTTAAACCTTAAGTGTTGGGTAGTTGGTACTCTTAACCAACCATTTGAAAAAAAAATCCCCCTCCACCCAATTT